TTTATTTTTATTTTTGTTTATTTACTTGCTGCTTAGGGAGGCGCAAGCTGCTGCTGGTGCCCCCGCCAGTCAATCTGCAGACGACCGTCATAGACTCGGGGGTGAGAAGTTTGTTATTTTATTTATTTATTTATTTATTTATTTTATTAATTAATTTATTCATTTTATTAATTTATTTTATTGATTGATTGGTTCATTTATTTATTTATTTTATTTTATTTATTTTATTTATTTATTTTATTTATTTATTTTATTTATTTTGTTTTGTTTTGTTTTGTTTTGTTTTGTTTTACTTCTTTTGTTTTTATTTGTTTATTTGCAACATCCTTGCCTTGAGTATTAATTATATTGTTTTTATTACTGTATACTGCTTTGTTGTTTATCAATAATATTATTTTTAATGTTTTATAGGTTTGTTTATTAACCATATTATTACTTTTAATGTTTTATTACTTTGTTTATTAATAATTTTATATTATTATTTTACGATTATTGTTATATTAACTTTCTTTATTATCTTCGTTGTCTTGTTTGTATTTGTTTGTTTGCCTTTTGTATTTGACGTAATTTATTTTAAATACTTTCTGTGTCTTTGTTTGTATATTTGGAGTGTACATACACCTCATTAAACTTTGTTGTGTTTGTTTGCAGCTGTAGATTTACGCTCAGCTTCACAACGCTTCAGCAGCTGTTCTTGTTAGAAGTATAATAATATTATACTTCTCTATCTCTTTCTTTTTTATCTCTTTAGGGCACCTCTTTGCTATCTGCTGCTGTCTACTCCTTCAAACCCTAAACCCTCATTGCTGCGCTCTTTAAACCCTCAAGAAGAGGCGCCAAACCCTTATCTCGCAAACGCTACAGTCTTTAAACCCATCAAACCCTAAACCCTAAACCACCATCAGGGTTTAGTTTCTACTATTTAGAGTTTAGGGTTTAGGGTTTAGGGTTTATGGTTTAGGTTTATCTTTGCATGGTGGGCAGGAGGCCTCATGGCAGCCCTGGCTCTAAGGGTTTAGGGTTTAGGGTTTAGGGTTTAGGGTTTGTTAGATGAGGCAGGGTTTGCTTGTATGAGGTAAGATAAAGAGGTGTATAGTCATTCAACTACCAACTATAAAGAAGCTTATCTTCTTGCACATATTATTATTTGTGTTACATTATAACTCTTATTATTTCTTCTCTTTCTTAATAATAATAATAATAATTAATATTATTATTATTATACTATTATTTTTATTTTTACTATTATTATTATTTCTCTTGCAAAGAAAACCACCCTAAAACCCTAAACCCTAAAAATTAACAAGAAGAAGAGTTTTATCTTCTCCTTTGAAGCAAGGCACTCAGGGTTTAGGGTTCAGTTGTTAGGGTTAAGGGTTTAGGGTTTAGGGTTTAGTGGTTTAGTGGCTAGGGTTTAGGGTTTAGGGTTCAGTGGTTTAGTGGCTAGGGTTTAGGGTTTAGGGTTTAGGGTTTAGGGGACCTCCGCCCCCGTTGAAAGTAATTTGCGTCGATCACTCTGGGGTTTAGGGTTTAGGGTTTAGGGTTTAGGGTTTGCATGAAATAAACAACAACTATAACAAACACCCCTTTAAAGAAATAAACAGAATAATTAAAATGAACAAAACAAAATAAATATAATAAACAGCAAATGCATAAAATCAAAGGCGATTTGATGTAATAAACAACGAAAAAGAATTAAGTAAAATAAATATTATTTTATAAAATATAATAAATATTATTTTATAAAATAAATATTATTTTATTATGTCTAATGGGTTGAAGTAAATATTATTCAATTCTTTTTGATGACTTAAATAAAATAAATACTTAATTAATTCTTTTTAACGAATTAAATAAATAAAATAAGTATTTAATTGATTATTTCTAATGACTTAAATAAATAAAATAAATATTTAATTGATTATTTCTAATGAGTTAAATAAATTGTCTAAATGAAGAAAAACTTCATGAAACCGAGAAGAGTATTAAGGTGAAAAAAATAAAACAACAAGGTTTATTGAAATAAAACAAACATTTTTAAATAAAATAAATAATATTTAAACAAAATAAATAATATGTAAACAAAATAAACAACAAGTATATAATATAATGTAATATTTGCTTATAATCTGTTGTCTGTTGAAGTCAGCCGAAAAAAGAGAAATACATCTTAATTGTCGCTTAAATTTAAAATAAACAAAAATAAAAAATTAATTATTTTATAATATCTTTGTTTTTATTTGTTTTGTTTATATATAATATTGTTTATATAAACAACAGAGACAATGAAAGGATTTGATAGCGATGGAGACTTCGAGTGTGTAGATTGAGAGAAAAAGCAGAGATAAATCTGAGTATTAATAAAAATAAAATTAATTATTTGAATTAATTAATATATTTTTTAACATTTACAATTAATAACAATTTAATTATAGCCTTCGTTTCTTTGTTTCTTATTGTTGCTGCACAAGACTGCAGCAAGAGAAGCCAGCTGCTGTGGGGTGCTGCGGTGGTAGTTTGTAGAATTTCCTTCTGAAAACTTTGTTAAAAGAGTAAATAAATAAATTAAATTGAATTAAATAAATAAAATATATAATTATTTCAATAAGAAAGAGTGAAAGTAAGGAAGCTCCTTCGCCCCCTTACCTATCGCACGCCTACTAGCTGTCGTCGCTGCTGCTGCTGCTGTGCTGCTGCTGCTGCTGGCGTTCGTTCTTTTTTCAGCGAAATTATTAAATTATTTCTTTATTTTCATATTTTGTTTGCCTTTAAAGATTAAAAAATATAAGAGATACACTCCGTCTAATCAAATAGCATCTCTACTGCACATGTGGTTAGACCTGCAGGCGTGAGGAGGCTACCCTCCAGCGCCTCACAGGTAAAATATATATATATATATATTTGTATATATCTTTGATATAAATATATTAAAATAATTAAATATTAATTAATTAATATATTTATTCTTTGTTTCTTCGTTTAAAAGATGTTTTTATAGCAGCGAGCAGCGCCTAACAACAAACTCAGGAACGCGCAGTCTATCGAGGCCTATGCAAGTGAATAAGTAAATAATAATAAAATATAATTATATCTTTATATCTATATAAAGTAATTTAAACAAATATATCTTTAAAATAAATGCATGCATGCGTTTGTGTTTGTCTTACTTTCTTTTTCTTTCTTTACAGGTATTCAGCAGCAGCAAAACAGCAGACAGCGTCTACAGGCATACAGCTCCTTCTACATATGAGGTTGAGCACCAGCAGCACCAGCAGGAACAGCAGCAGCAGCAGCAGCAGCAGCAGCAGCAGCAGCAGCAGCAAGAGCATTCTACTTTTTGCATTTGTAATTTTCTTGAAGTTGTTTACTCGAGGGTCTCTAATTTGAAGAGTAATATTATAAGGGCCCCGAAGGCAGCATTTAGTGCTGCATTTAATAACAATATCTTTCTGGGTGCCTCTGTTTATCTCTCTGTCTCTCTTATTCTTTTTTACTGTCTCCTCCTTTGAGTGCTTCTTCAGCAGCTAGCAACAATGGTAGTAATAATAGAGAGGGATAGACGAGCTGCTGCTCGTTGCTCAGGTTGTTATTTTTTACTGTCTCTCTTTGTGCTTGCACTGGGCTGTCTCCTCTTAATCACTGCCCCTGCCTTTGCTGCTGTCTCTAGCGTTGCTGTTGCTGCTGCTCCTGCAGCTAACAGCAGCAGCAACAGCAGCAACAGCAGCAGCAACAGCAGCACCAACAGCAGCAGCAGCAACAGCAGCAGCCCTTCCAGCGCAGCAACAACTCCTTTCCAGCAGCAGCAGCAGAATCATCAGCAGGATGAACCCGCGCAGCAGCAGGAACAGCAGGTGCAGCAGGAAGTGCAGCAGGAAGTGCAGCAGCAAGTGCAGCAGCGACCCCGACGCCTTGCCCCTCAAGAATGCAAGACATATGTTTATACAAGCCCTGACCAAACTCCAGCAGAGATGAATGACAGAGGAAGCTGCCCTACAGGAGGAGGCAGCAGAGCGTTCTTATTAGATACATCTCCAGAAGGATCAGGTGTCCCTTCATTAATTGAAGTGTCTCCTGTTCAATCTCAGCATTATGCATGCAGATTAGGAAGACCTTGCAGTTTAATTGTTGCTGGGTTCGGGCTTCAAGCTAGAGACAGCATTGTTGTTTTAAAAGGACGAGAAGAATGCCCTCCGCCATCCCTTCAAAACGCAAAAGTTGTTTACAGCAGCAGACATATCAACAGCTCTGCTGCTGCAACATTTAATATTCAGATACGCCCTCAACAAACTAATACTCAGCTACCTGTCTTTGAGCTAGGACCTATACAAGCTAACCTCTTTACTATTTGCTATGCACCTTACTTAGCTTCCAAAGGAGACAGCCCATCTGCAAAAGAATATCATTATAAAGCAGGCATCCTTAGTAAGCATTCTTCTTTTATTTATTATTTTTATTTTTATTTTTATTTTTATTTGAAATCCTTGCGTTGTCTGTCTTCCTTTATTATTATTATTATTATTATTATTGTTGTTGTTGTTGTTGTTGTTATTATTGTTATTATTATTGTTATTATTATTGTTGTTGTTATTATTATTATTATTGTGTCTCCTTCCATTATCTGTCTCCTTTTATTATTATTATTACTACTTTTGTCTTCTTTTATTATCTGTCTCCTTTTATTATTATTATTATTTTGTCTCTTTTTATTATCTGTCTCCTTCTTCTTTTATTGTCTGTATTATTATTTTTATTATTATTATTTTGTCTCCTTGCATTGTCCGCCTCCTTCTTCTTTTATTATTATTATTTTTATTATTATTATGTTGTCTCCTTGCATTATCTGTCTCTTTCTGCTACTTCTTTTATTACCCGGCTGTGATTATTTTGTTTATGTGGCTGCTTACCCGCCTGTATGCATGCAAACATATCTTTCTGATATCTCTATTTTATTTAATTTATTTATTTATTTATGTGTTTATGCATGTATTTATTTATTTATTTCTCTCTGTCTGTCTCTCTTTCTTTCTGTTAGATAATGAAGGGTGTTTATATATTTGCATATATATGATATAATATATAATATATATATAATATATATTATTATTAATAGATATATATAATTATTGTTTTATGTGTATGTATTGCAGATGTTGGCGATGAGCTTTTGGAGTGCGATTTTGAAGAGGGGATGTGCGGTTTAATGTCTTTTGTTGTAGACCCTCGTTTAAGTCTGCAGTGGAGACGAAATTCAGGTGCAACAGAGACAGCAGGTACAGGGCCTTCATTTGATCATACATACGGTAGAAGAGAAGGTAAACGAGGACACTATCTTGTGATGAATTCTCCAGGGTATATGTTAGGTGAAAGTGCATCTTTATTAGCTCCTGCACAGATATATCCAAAAGGTTTATATTGCTTTCGTTTCTGGTATCATATGTACGGTGATGATATTAATTCTTTACGTGTTTATATGAGAAGTTTAGATGGTGATAATGAAGCTCTAGGCGATTGGGGTAAGCCTTATTTACTTCGTGTAGGCGATCATGGAGACGACTGGCTTGAAGGAGGCTTTGAATTTTCTTCAGATGGTTATACAGCACAACAACTTGTAATAGAAGCACTTGCTGGATTTGGAGAGAAGAGTGATATTGCAATAGATGATATAAGAATTATATCGGGGAAATGTCCTGAACAAATACTAAGAGATGTCTTACAACAAGAATTCATATGTGGTGAAGTAAGACTTATTACAGGAGATTATGCTGAAGATAAACAATGGTTTGTTGAAGGTGCTGTCTCTTGTGCAGGAAAAGGCTATTCAATTAGTAGCATGCAGAGAAGATGGGTTCCTTGCTGTGTACCTCGATATGGTAATTATACTGTTGTTCTTCGAGATAAATATGGTGACGGGTGGAATAAGTCTCGATTAGAGTTTCGTTTCTTTGGAGATCATGTAACATTTGGAGAAGATTTTGATGGTGCTGAAAAAAAATATAAATTAAATATAGGTCTTGTGCAAATTCAAAGAGTAGAAGGCTCTGAAGAAAGAATAGGATTTCAAATACAAGTTGCTGAACCCCGCATGCATGTATGGTGTGGGGCTGCACAAGCAGGTACACCACCACCTACTGTTGAGGTCCTTAAAAGATATGGGATCCGATCCCAGAACCCCACAAGTCATGCAGGAGAAGTACTTCGTATGGAGATTGCAAACAAACCAAACAGCAGAAGAGTTGTTCATCCTAATACCACATATAATGTCTATTGTTATGCAGAGGCATCCACAGCAAGTCTACAAAACGCAGCAGCAGCAGGTGGTGCAGCAGCAGCAGCAGCAGCAGCAGCAGCACAAGGACAGCATATGGATGATGCACAAGTTGCTGCCTCTCGTATGGCTGTTACCACTGACAGCACTCCACCTCAGCTGTCTATACAGGGATCTGAATCTCATTTAAATGAAGTTGTTGTTCGTCTAGCTACAGACGAGCCTGCAACGGTTTGGTGTTTAGCAAGAGATACAAAAAAAGAAGCAGAAGCAGGTGCAGAAGAAACCCCTGCAGTTGCAGAGATAAAGAAAGGAAATAAAATTCAAATTTTAGAAGGAGAAGAAGGTGTATGGCATACACTTACTCTAAGTGGGCTTCATCCAGATACACAATATAATGTTTATTGTTATACACAAGATACAGCACTTCCTAAAGGTAATGGTATAAGCCTTCAAAAGGTAAAAGATCTTGTATTTTCTGCTGAAACACAAAGTAAAGTTCCTGATCTATCTATAGTATCTTATAAAGCTTTTCAAAAAGGATTTCGTGTTACTGTTCAAACAGATACACCTGCTAAAGTTTGGTGTGGTGCTGCTATGGCTGGAAGTGCATTTCCTAGTAGAGAAGATGTACGTAGAGTAGGTGCAACAGCAGATATAGAAGAAGCAGGTAAGAAGACAGAGCTTGAAATTCGCGGGGTACCACCTAATACTCGATATACTATTTATTGTTTCGCAACTTCAAGAGGAGGAAGTGCAGAAATGACAGATGCACAGATGTGGAAGAAAGCTCTTGAAGTAACATCATTTGGCCGTTTCTGTGATATGCCTGTTGAACCCCCTGAATTAGAAGTAGCAGATAAACCGACATTGTTTGATCCTTTGACATCAACTGAAGAATTCCTCGTGCGTGAATTCATGAATAAACAAAGACAGCTCAATATTGAAGGTATTTACCGCATTAATCTCTTCATAGATAAACCCAAAATCATTGAACACCTCGATAAAGGTGCTCCTCCTCCTAAGCGCTTCGCTCGTGTTCGTGTTGGTACATGTGTAGAAAGAGAAGGTGCTTATAGACAATATAAAGTCGGGCCGTTAGATGTACGCAGTGCAGATCAAATGAAACTGGAACCTATTGGAGCTGTTGTTCCTACAGATTGTGGTGGGTATAACCCTCAAGGTGTATTTGGTAGAAGACTTTTTGCAGAAGAAGAAGAACAACAGCTTGCAGATATTTTACAACAATCTTTTGGATATGGATTTGGAAAAGATAAATGCCAATTTGAATATAAAAAGCCTCACCATGAGCATCAAGATGGGTGCTTAGAGTTCGGCCCTATGTTATATGAAGAAGGAGAAGATAAAAAGATCAAAACTGTATGGGCAGGTCTACGTACACCCCAAGGAGATAAAGTGCCCTTCTATTTCTTATTACCTGCACCTGAAGGAGTAGATCTAAAGACATTACAACAACAAGAAGAAAGAGAAGAATTAGCTTTCAAATTAGATAAAGTTATAGGGTATT